TATTTCATATGAATCTGATGTATGGTGAAAAAAGTGCTACATCAAAATACCCTAAACTCAAGAGCATGAATCAAATCTTACCTTATTGTATTTCTTTCTTGGTGTCACTCATATGTCTTTTAGTACATCTGAGAACTGGGGATCTTAAACCACAGGGAGAGCAGTTTCAGAACATTGTCTTTGTGGCACACGTATGAAGATGACAAAATATCAAAATTCACAAGTGTAATACAGCAGAGATAAGCTATCTTTATTTTCCTTTCTCCAACTCTAAATTCACTCTATTGTGAAACCAGAACTCTTAGTCTCTTCCAAAAAAATGGAATAGGATAGGTAATCCAGTGTTGATTCTTCTGTTTTTGCTAGATTTTAGGTAAAAAAAAATGATTGTTCTGACTACTTTGTCCTGTTAGCAAAAACTGGTTGGATTGGCCTAATGGTTAGCTGCTGGTAAAAGATTAATTATTTATTCAGCTAATGGTATTTATAGTTATATACTGTCGAATTCTATAGTGTCAAAAGTTTATTTAAGAGGAATTTTTGAGTTAGTGTATATTAAATATGGAGTGATGGTTTACTTCTGCTGTATGCACAGTATTGGAAATAATTATTGAAACAGTGGGGGGAGTGGTGTAAAATACTTCGGGAATCTCAACCCTGTATCGTGTGTAAACAAATTACACTAGAGTACAGTCACATGTTGACGACAATGGAGTGATTGTCATCCAACTAGTCAAAAAGTGCCAAAAGAGTATACATCTTATAAATATACAGGCAGTCACACCCACGAGTAGTAGTGTGATTCCAGCAACAGTTCCCAGGACTTAAATACTGCACGGAAGGTGGTAAAAATAAATATTTTAGTGGTGTACTTCCAGTAACAGTTCCCAGGACTTAAATACTGCATGGAAGATGGTAAAAATAAATATTTTAGTGGTGTACTTCCAGTAACAGTTCCCAGGACTTAAATACTGCATAGCGGGTGGTAAAAATAAATATTTTAGTGGTGTACTTCCAGTAACAGTTCCCAGGACTTAAATACTGCATGGAAGGTGGTAAAAATAAATGTTTTAGTGGTGTACTTCCAGTAACAGTTCCCAGGACTTAAATACTGCATGGAAGGTGGTAAAAATAAATGTTTTAGTGGTGTACTTCCAGTAACAGTTCCCAGGACTTAAATACTGCATGGAAGGTGGTAAAAATAAATGTTTTAGCTGATCATGGATACTCCATGTTTCAGTGTATGCAAGACTATGAAGAGGGTGCATGAAACTGGCACTGTTAATAATGTTAAGTGGTCAAGTTAAAAAAATAAACTTTCCAAAAGTGGTGTTAAGTACCTCAGAGTATGTTTTTTATGAGATCGACGACAGTTCACTATAGATCTTGCCAACAGTCTTTCTGTATCTTCAGATGTGAATGCTATCCTGAGAACAGTAAGATACAGATTAGAATGAAGTGGTCTCAATGGAAGTGTGACTGCTCAAAAAAAGCACATTTGAGAAGAGATAACCAAGAAGTTGAAATGAGCACTGGACCCCAAACAAAGCAGAGCTAGAGATGTATGTTCATTACAAATGAATGCAAGCATGATGTGGAATCAGAACAGGTTCGGGGATACATCTCAGTAAATGGTATTATTGGTCTATTGCAAAATCGATGACATCCTGAAAGCAGTTAAATCCAGGCAGATTCTTATCCATAGGGCCATTCTCTCGTGATCATGATTCATGAGGCTGGGATTCACCATCCAAGAAGACAATGAGCTCAAGCATACAACAAATATAGTGAATTGATATCTTAACAGCAAGGAGGCTGATGAAACACTTACAACCAAATCCTATCTTGAACAAAGTCTTGATATGAAAAAGTTTGAGGCTGTATGGGCTTATATACAAACTGATAATACCAAAAGGTGACCATATAACTTGGCTGAACTATGACGAGTGAAACACGATCTTTAGAAAATTATTTGCCAATTTTACTTTCATAAATTCTTTGGTCTCATTAAAACAAGGGCTCACATACAAAATACCTGTGCTTTTCTCGTGAATGTTTGTTAATGACGTTTTGTACCATATATAAATTAATCATTATTTGCTATTACTTGTTGTTTATAACTCATGTTTATGTATCGGCCGTGTGTTTCCATAATTATCATTAGTACTGTCTATTCCAACCACATTACATTCGCTATATCCGTTGTCGACGATGTGTTTCACTCAATCCAGGGCTTTTCAAACCAGCTGAGATACAACAAACACACAAAGGATGGTTTATATAAATAGCGTTCCGACCACTACTCTGGTGGTTGAAATACTATTATTACACATTATTCTATTTTTTGCAAATTCCTAAGGGACTTGAAAAAGAACGCAATATTTAAAAATATAATAGGCCTAATACCAATGATTTATGACAAGAATAATTATAATCACGCTTCGCCAGCTTAGAAAAGGTATTCACATCACCATAACAATTGTTGTTGTATCAAATAACTTATATAAATAGTTTTTCGAACGCTACTGCGTTTTTTTGTTAGGTTTTTTTTTTTTTTTTTGTATTCCAGCCGGACTGAAGAGCTCTGGATTTAGTGAAACACATCGTCAGCAATGGCTGTGGCCAATATAGTGTAGTTCTAAACTCTTCTAACTCTTGAAAATTTCTAAGAGACTAGATAAAGAAGATAGTGTCAAAAAAATGTAATATGCCTAATACTAATGTCTTATGACAAGTATAAATATTGAGCTACTATTGATACTGTACTCAATACACGTACATATGTACAAAATGAGTAGTTTAAAAGATATTGTTACGTCTCCGTTTGTTAATTGATTTTTCCGTAACTTCGTTCCGACGAAATTTTAACACACAAGTCTTTAC